TTTTTTTGAGAAGATTTTAAACATTCAGAGAATAATATGAGAAACAATCAGGATTTACAGCTGTTAACATTTTCTCTTATTTTCCTCAAGCCTCATTTCCCATTTTTGTTTTGTTTTGTTTTGTTTTGTTTAAGTATACTTAACTCCCAATGTGGGGCTCTAACTCACAACCCCTGAGATCAAGAGTTGCTCACTCCACCAACTGAGCCAGCCCAGTGCCCCTCCCTGCTTTTTTTTTTTTTAAGAGAAATGATAAAGTATTACAGATAAAATTGAAATATCCTTCCCAGTTTTAATCCCATTCTCTACCTCTCACCCTGCCCAATTTGGGCAGCTGCTATTATAAGTTGTTGTGTATCTTTCTATCCCATTTTTTACTACTTACATATAAATAAATGCAACTCCATGAGCACCATATTGTTTTATAAATTTTTAATCATAATTATCGCTCTGCACTTGCTCTTTCACTCAACTTGTTTATTTATCCATATAAATATATATAAGTCTGATTCGGGGTTGGCAGACTTTTTCTGTAAAAGATCAGGCAGTAAATATTTTAGGTTTTGTGAGCCAGCCTGTCTCTGTTACAGCTACTCAACCCTGCTATTCTATAGCTAATGCAGCCATACATAATATGTAAACAAGGGGGTACGGCTGTGTTCCAATAAAATTTTATTTACAAAAAACAGGTTGTGGGCTAGATTTGGCCCATGGGCTATAGTTTGCTGACCCCTGCTCTAATGCATTCCTTTTACCTACTGAATAGTATGGTGTCTATATTATATACATATATATTTTTTTTTTCAGTTCCCCTGAAAATAGATGTGTAGGTTGTTTCCCATTTTTCTATTTTAACATGCTGCAGGAAGCATCCCTGTCCATGTCTCCTCGTGTACATGTGCAAAGGTTTTTCACTAGGACATACACATACATAGAAGTGGAATTGCTGAGGCTTTTTTTTTTTTTTTAAACAAATAACATGGTCCAAATAAAATGCTTCAGGTAGAATGTGACCAGTGTGTGACCTCTGTCCTAGAATCTCTATAGGAAGCCCGTAGTGAGAATCCAATCCACACCTAGTTCTAGAATTTGAGGTAAGACTCCATGACAGCTAGCAAAGGTGAGGGTGCATTAATCCAAATAGAAGAGCTGGAGAACGATCTGGAAGAGAGTCATTGCCGTGAGAAATGTGTAACTGACTTCCTCAGTGGACAAAAGAAGTGAAGTTGGGGGAGAAACTCAGTTTTTCATGTTTAGTGGCCATTCAAACTGTGGTTGTTAATGTTAGAATGACAAGTTCTAACAGAAAAGGTATTCAGGATGAAGGTGACGAGCTGCTGACCTGTGGTTGCTTCTTTCCTGGCAATGCTGTGAGTTCCTTTAAAGATTTATCACTGTAATTAGACCGGCTAGAAGGAGAGTAAGGAAGGTAATAAAGTAAAGAAAGAGTGTCAGGGCATCCTTCCAAGAAAACCCTCTCCTTTGAGGAGGATCCAGAGCAAGTTTTTAAGCCGTGGTGGCAGGAAATTAAATTAGCCCATCTTCCTGAAGAACTACGTCAATAATACATGACTAGTTCAGTCGAGCTCAGTGGGTTCTGAAAAGAAATGGTGTTCTGTGTTCTGAGTTGAGATTTAATTAAGGGGATGCAGGCTTTGGGAATTCCTTCTTTTCAAAACATTTCAAACATTGTAGGCCATTATCATTCCTTTGTTTTTATGGTTTTGGAGCCCTCAAAAAATAGACGGTGCTCTAACACAAGCAGGTGAACATCAAGGTCACCCTTGATGCAGGCTTTTTTTTTTTTTAAAACAAGCTTGGGGCCACATTGTTTTGATAGGTAAAAGCTGGATGGCTCTGCCTCTTCAGGAATATGCAATGCAGAAAAATTGATCTCACCATTGACGCATTCTCCACTTAACCCCCCACGTTGTTGTTGTTGTGGTTTTTTTTTTAAGTTTTATTTAAGTAATCATCCAATGTGGGGCTCGAACTCATGACCCTGAGATCAAGAGAGTTGCAGGCTTCACTGGCTGAGCCAGCCAGGCGCCTCCCCACCCCCACCCCTTACGTTTCTTACTCCGAGTCTAGGACCTTGTGTAAACCATCCCACGAGCTGCAGTAGAGGCCTCCCCACAGGAGGCTCAGGGGGCGGGGGCTTGAGCTTGGCACCTGGACAGCTTTTGCAGGTCTCTGCCGACATGGAGGTAGAGACCCGCACCGGTAATGGCTGCAGTGGGTAGCTTGGGGGCCATTGCCTTGGAAGAGAAAGGGAGACGCAGTAAGCAGACTGGCCATTCTAACATCTAGTTCTTTCTTCTCATTAGGCAAAACTGTAGTAGCATATAGAAGGTGGGGAATGAGGGAGGGACGGTCTTTTACATGGTTTTCCTTAAATGGGTTGAGCTTCACTTTTTTTTGTTTTTAAGATTTTTTTTATTTATTTGAGAGAGAGAGAGAGTGAACGAGCACAAGTAGGCGGAGCAGTAGAGGGAGAGGCAGAAGCAGGCTGAGCAGGGAGCCTGATGCGAGGCTCCATCCCAGGACCCTGGGATCATGACCTGAGTTGAAGGCAGAAGCTTCACCGACTGAGCCACCCAGGTACCCCTTGAGCTTCACTACTAATTGAACATTGATTAGTTTAATCTGATTTTTTTTTTTAGGGTAACGACTACAAACTGAACAAGAGTATAAAAGTTAGGGCTCACCAGTAATCTCTGGAATGACCCTTTGATGAGGGTTTTGGATGAATCTGCATCAGTTTATTTTAATCCAGCTTTATGTTAGTTCATAACGTACTTCCACCTTTGTAAGTACCCCTTAGTCTCACAATCATCCATAAAGAAGGAGAATTATCCCTGTTTTACCAATTTTATAGAAAATGGGTTAGAGGCCTTCTAGCTCTTCATTCTAGACATTATTTTATTACATGTAACGACTAGAAAGTATAAAAAATAACTTTTCATGTTTCCATGTACTTAGCAGCAGCAGAATTTTTTATAAAAGCTTAATGGGAGAACATATTGACTCGATATTTATTAACGTCCAGTCCATAAGCCATAGACTGGCCCATCACTGCCTCACGTTCTCCCGCTCCTTTGTTGGCAGGGAATAGGTCACCCTCACAACTAAAAAGAAATTGTTAGCACTGTCCTAAGTGTCTATTAAAATTACATATGCATATATCCTGTGAGCCAGCAGTATGTTTTTAGAAATTTATCTTACAGATACACTTTCCCACACGTGAAAGGATGTGGGCCTAGTTTTTTCACAGTAAAATATCAGAAACAGCTTAAGTGCTGGGATTGTGGTTAAATAAACTATGACGCTTCCATGCAGTGGTATATTTTCCTGCTGTCATAAAGAATAAGGCAGCTGTATATTTATTGAGGGAACAAATGCCAAGATATGTGGTTTAGTGAGGAAAAGCAAGGTGCAGGACACTGTGTTATTACTGTGTATAACATTCTACGCTTGCGTTAAAAAAGAGGGGGTAAGTATGTATTATTACATATTTGCTTGCTATGCATAAACTAGCTCAGGAAGATTAAAAATCTAATAATACTTGTTTTGTGGGCAGGGTCCTGGGTGGCTGGAGAACATGTGAGGGACAGGGACCTATCACTGAAGAGGTCACTGAATCAAGAAGCAGGAGAATCACCTACTTAAAAGAAAAGCCAAAACCACCCCACATTGAGGTTTTTAGGAATTTGGGGTCCTCGTATGTACTTCTTCACTCTGATCTGCTTGCTTGCTACCCCTTCCCAAAGGACCCATTTAATCATCCTTTCTTCTGCTCCCTGAGTTTTCTGGCACCAAATGAAGTCCTCTTTTTTGTTTTTACTTAAAAAAAATTTTTTTTTTTAAGATTTATTTGTTTATTTTAGAGGCGGGGAGGGGCAGAGGGAGAAGAGAGAGAGTCTCAAGCAGACTCCGTGCTGAGCATGGAGCCCCACGTGAGGCTTGATCTCACGACCCTGAGATCACAACCTGAGCTGAACCCAAGAGTCAGTCACTTAACCTAGTGCACCACCCAGGTGCTCCTATTTAAAAAAAAATTTTAACACCTATTTTTTTATTTGCATTCAAATTGTATTCAATCTGTTGGTTGAATAAGTGCTTTCTATGTAATGTATTACACCACATCCTCATTTATTTGCATACATTTTGCATAAGCCATAGTTTATGATTTTAGAATGGAAGAGTATTATTGGCACAAGATAGGAAATTCAAACAGTACAGACGAGCATGAAGTGAAGTTTTTTCTCTCTCTCTTGACCTGAGAGTCCTCTAGGCCCACAGTTCCCCTGCTGAGGCTGCCACTGTTACCACTTTGATATGCATACTTCTAAGAATATTGTTTTGCATATCAAACATAAACATGAGTGCATATATCCACCTGCTTACACACCGTGTTAACTGTACTATACACACGGTTCCTCATCTACTTTTTTCACTTAGCGCTGCATCTCAGTATGGAGTTACATTTAGATTAGCATGTTCTTTTCAGTAACTGCTATATATGTGTTATTACATACATATTTAATTTATTCCATCAGCCTCCTCAGTCTGTTGCTACCACAAATGATGCCACAACGAATATCCTTGTATCTGTGGGATAAGTTCTTAGAAATACAACTGCTACCTCGAAAGGTATTGATAGATAGTTCCAAATTGCTCTCTGCAGAGGTTTTAGTAGTTCAGCAGGACAGAAGATTATCCAGGCTTTTAAAAGGCTTCTAGCTGCTGCAACCTGGAGTATAAGATAAAGTATCAGTCAAAGGGAAGACAGGCTCGTTCACACTACTGGGGGACTAAAGGTTGTACTGTTCCCACTGAAGCTCGTTAAGATCCTATGAAGAGGTATAGCGTGCATTACAGTTATTTAATGTAGCCATCAGAAGGTTAGCCAGACGAAGGTGACATGGGTGTGTCAGGTGCTATTGAGCAGCCTTCAGTGACAACCGTACTGTCCTTACTTACTTTTGCTTTTTTTCTAGGACCTTAGCATCCTGAGACATTTTGGATTCACAGCCCTCAAGGTTGACCCGGTCAGAGTTCATCATGTCAAAGTTAAAAAGCTCGGAGTCAGTCAGGGTGGTGGTTCGCTGTCGGCCCATGAATGGCAAGGAAAAGGCTGCTTCATATGATAAGGTGGTGGATGTGGACGTGAAGCTGGGGCAGGTGTCAGTGAAGAACCCCAAAGGAGTGGCTCATGAAATGCCCAAGACCTTCACCTTTGATGCAGTCTATGACTGGAATGCCAAGCAGTTTGAACTCTATGATGAGACATTCCGACCGCTCGTGGACTCTGTCTTGCAGGGTTTCAATGGGACAATTTTTGCCTATGGACAAACCGGGACTGGGAAAACCTACACGATGGAAGGAGTCCGTGGTGATCCTGAGAAAAGAGGGGTCATCCCTAACTCATTTGACCACATCTTCACCCATATCTCTCGATCCCAGAATCAACAGTACCTGGTCAGGGCTTCTTACTTGGAGATCTACCAGGAGGAGATCCGAGATCTGCTCTCAAAGGATCAGACCAAAAGGCTAGAGCTCAAAGAGAGGCCTGACACTGGCGTGTACGTGAAAGACCTGTCTTCTTTTGTCACCAAGAGCGTGAAGGAAATAGAGCATGTGATGAACGTGGGGAACCAGAACCGCTCTGTCGGCGCTACCAACATGAACGAGCACAGCTCACGCTCTCATGCAATTTTTGTAATCACCATTGAGTGCAGTGAGGTGGGCCTTGATGGAGAAAACCATATCCGTGTAGGGAAATTGAACCTTGTGGATCTTGCTGGCAGCGAACGGCAAGCCAAGACCGGTGCACAAGGAGAAAGACTGAAGGAGGCCACCAAGATCAACCTGTCCCTTTCAGCCTTAGGTAATGTCATCTCTGCCCTGGTGGATGGCAAAAGCACTCACATTCCATATCGGGACTCAAAGCTGACCAGGCTCCTCCAAGATTCTCTTGGTGGCAATGCTAAAACTGTGATGGTAGCCAACGTGGGACCTGCCTCATACAATGTAGAAGAGACTCTGACCACTCTGAGATATGCCAACCGTGCCAAAAACATTAAGAACAAGCCAAGGGTCAACGAGGACCCTAAAGATGCCCTCCTTCGAGAATTCCAGGAAGAGATTGCTCGGCTCAAGGCCCAGCTGGAAAAACGGTCCATTGGCAGGAGGAAGAGGCGAGAGAAGCGGAGGGAAGGTGGTGGCAGTGGTGGGGGCGGGGAGGAGGAGGAGGAGGAGGGAGAAGAGGGTGAGGAGGAAGGGGATGATAAGGATGATTACTGGCGGGAACAGCAAGAAAAACTGGAGATTGAGAAGCGGGCCATTGTAGAGGACCACAGCTTGGTTGCAGAGGAGAAGATGAGGTTGCTGAAGGAGAAAGAGAAGAAGATGGAGGACCTGCGGCGGGAGAAGGACGCTGCTGAGATGCTGGGCGCCAAAATCAAGGTACCACAACCTTCCTTGGGCCTTTGTTCCCTCAGTGCTTTCCATTTTATCCAAAAAATGATATGATGGATGATGTCCCTTTCAGTTTTACATTCCCAACAGCCCCATGGATCCAGTGTCCAGTAAACATTTGTTGAATTGAAATAAAAACCATTTCTTCAAGTTTATATTGAACTCGTAGGAAGAATAATTATTACATATGTGCAGGTATGAAAAGCAGCAATAAAACGGACACCCAAGGGCCCCACAGCCAGTGTGAGAAATAGAACATAATCCATATCTTTACAAGCTTTGTGTCCCCCTCCCCCAGAGCTAGCCCTTGTTTTGAATTTGGCGTTTATTGTTTCCTGACTTTTCTTTACAGTTTTCTCATATACGTATATACCTCTAAAAAAAGATAGTTCCACATAATTTTCTACCTTTATATAAATGGAATCCCACTGCTGCAATTTGCTTTTACTTGCCCAATCTTATGTAATGGGATTTGTCTAGGTTGATGCTTGTAGCTGTGGTTCATTCATCATTACTGCTCTGAGAAGTGAGTGGTATTCCATTCTCCTGATAGTGGGTTGTTTCCATTTTTTGCTATGTACATTTTTGTACTTGGCTCCAGGAGAACACGGATGAGCAAGAATTTCTTACCTGGCGCCATTAGGTCCTCGGGTATGTGCAGCCCCAATTTTACTAGATAATAACAAGTTGTTTTCGGAGGTGGCCATATGAAGTGAAGCTTCTACCCGCACATATGAACTCTGGTTGCTCCTCGTCCTTACCAGCACTTATGACTATCCGATTTAATTATCATATGTCTGATGTATATAAAATGGTATCTCATTGTGGGATTTTTTTGTTTGTTTGTTTGTTTGTTTTTAAGTAGGCTCCATGTTTAGCGTGGAGCCCAACTCAGGACTTGAACTCATGACCCTGAGATCAAGACCTGAGCTGAGATCAAGAGTCGGATGCCTAACCGACTGAGCCACCCAGGTGCCCCTCATTGTGGTTTTAATATGCAGTGCCCCGACCATACAAGATACAGAATAGTTCCATTGCCCACAAATGCTCTCTTGTAGTCAGCCCCCTCCCTCAACCTCCAACCCCTGTGAGTCAGTGGCTGACTAGCATTCTAGAGCGTGGAGACTCCTATGTATTTTCTTTCTGGTGCCAGTGTACTATTCCATCAGGTGCCTGGACTCTGGGCTGCCAAAGGCCTTTACTGGCGGAGGAGAGGACAGGGCTAGCCCTGGCAATCGGACCCCTGCCCACCAGCCAGAACGGCTCTGAGGTGTTGGGTTCTTTCTTAGTGAATTTATGAAAACTGATTTCGATGTTCAAATGTATCCTTGTTTATTAATTTAAAAATGACCAGTCATCGCTTCCTCGCCTCCGCTTTCCCCACTGTATGAAGCTGTGCTTTATCTCTGGCTTCATGGTAGCCCTTTCACAGAGCTGGGTTCTGTTTTACTTCAGAGGCAGGGGTCTGTTCCAGAGTGTTCAAGACCTGATGTAAAAATGGAGTCCTATACAACACAGTTAGGACGTCACTTTGTTTCAGGGAGGGGCTTACTCTGGGATTCCTGAACGTCAGACGCCACTTCACCCCTCCACATTCCTGCACTTAAAGTGTAACAGAGTGTGCCCCTGTTTGATGTGCATGCTGGTTTTTAGGATCACATCTATTATTCAAGCCCAGGAACACCTAGACTCTCTAAACAACCTGGATTATTTGGGCAACTCTCAGAGGCCAGGTGTGGCAAGACGCAGTATTACCTCAAGGTCACTGAATCTCTTAGAAGTTTTGTTTATGGGAGAATGATATTACTTCTGTCTCTCAAAATCTCTGGATGCTGTAAAATCATAGGACAAAAGTATTTTACAGCTGGAAGGAGTGTGTGTGTGTGGGGGCGGGGAGGGTGGTTAGTAATCCAGTCCAACCACTTCATTTTGAGAGAAGAGGAAATGGGCCTAAGGGCTCACTGAAAGATGGCAGCAGAGGGCTACTATTAATGTTCATAAGTTTCTTAAAAGCAAGGTCGTGGAGTTTTTGGATTCTGTGCTTTTCAGGTGCAAATCATTCCCATGGCTTTAGCCACCATCTAAATGCTCAAGGTGTCCCATCTATTATAGCCAGCCCAGAGCTGTGTCCTAACATTCAAGTCTGATAGTTTCTGCCTACTGGACATTTCCAGGGATGGCCATGGCCACCCAGAACCTGTTCCTGCCTTCCTTTTCTTTTCTTTCTTTTTTTTTTTCCTGCCTTCCTTTTTGCAGTCAAGCCAGAGCCCTAGCCGTTATCCCTGCTAGCCATGCCTCCTTCTCCCTTACCGTCCAGTCAGTCCCAAGGCCTCTGAATCCTGCGCCATCGGATCGGATCTCTTGGACCCATCCACTTTGCTCTGCCCCGCCATTACTGCCCTAGCCCAGGCCTGAATCCTCAAAACAACCTCCTGGCTGGTCTCCTTCTGCCTGGCCTGCCCTTGTCCAGTCATCCTTCCTGTGGTGGGTGAAGAATGTTTCTAAAACACAAATCTGACTGTGTACCCTTATGCTCAAAGAACAGTCAGTGCGATTCCTGCAGTTCTCAGATCAACTTTAGTTTCCCTTAACAGGGCTTTGATGTTTTTGAACTGACCCCTGATTCCTTTGCCACCTTCATGTATCACCACTTCCTATCCTACCCTCTCACACACGATATTTTTTTCTTTTAAGATTTTATTTATTTATTTATTTGAGAGAGAGCGGGAGTGTGAGCAGGGGGAGGGGCGGAGGGAGAAGGAGAGAGAGAATCTCAAGTAGACTGCACACTCAGCACTGAGCCTGATGCGGGGCGCAGTCTCACGACCCTGAGATCATGACCTGCACTGACATCATAAATCGAACGCTTAACCGGCTGAGCCACCCAGGCACTGCTGCATTTCTTTTTTTTTTCTTAGCTAATTCCTATTTTTATTTCAGCACTCTGGAGACAGGAAGCTTTCCTTGATTCCCCCCAAAAGCCTGAATCCTCCCCTCCTGTATGCCTCTCCCATTATTTCTCTGTCTTTTCCTTACGATAGTGGCTGACTCCGTAGCATAAGAGCCTGCTTATTTGTCTGTGGGCCACAGTGGAGTCTTCAGCTTTGTGGTTCATATTCAGTTGCATTCCTAGTACCTAGCACATGGAGGTACTCAATATGTTTTAAGTAGGGTCAATACTTTGTACATACAAACAAAACAAAACAAAAAAATTTTTTTTAAAAGAGCTGAAATTCCTATATGGCTGGGGCAGCTGTATCTTCAGTGTTTCTAAGGTAAAGCCCCAGTGGGGCCACCTCAGCCCCACCCTGGTGATGGTAAGGACACTGCTCTGCACAGTCTATTTTCCCCCAGAGTTCACTCCTTTGGCTGAGTCCTGAGCTCATTATGTTTTACAGACTTCCCTATGAGGAGATATGTTCTGAGGGAGATCATTCACGAGATGGATTCTACTTTTTTCTCACTCAGGCCATGGAGAGTAAGCTGCTTGTTGGAGGAAAAAATATAGTAGATCATACGAATGAACAACAGAAAATCCTGGAGCAGAAACGGCAGGAAATTGCAGAGCAGGTAACTTTTCATTCCCTTTTGAGGAGAACACGGTGGGATAAGGTGCACCAAAGCTACAGAGCAAATATCTCTTGTGTTAGATTCTTCAGAGGGAATGAAAACAAGGTGTTCAGCCCCTTCCTAGTGGGAGACTTTGGCCTGGAGCACCCAGCTCTGTATTCTTGTATAGACATTGTCTCTAGGCAAGCTGATGAATTATGTGATGTTGCTCAGAAACGTCGAGAAAGAGAGATCCAGCAACAGATGGAAAACAGAGATGAGGAGACCTTGGAACTTAAAGAGACGTACAGCTCATTGCAGCAAGAGGTGGACATCAAGACCAAAAAACTCAAGAAGGTATAAAGGAACGAGGCCAGGCAGAGGTGTCTTGAGACTTGGGGGAAGGGAAGAACTCTGTTGTTTGGAGGGCTCCCCTCCTCACCTGCCTTTCCCCTCGGTTCCAGCTCTTCTCCAAGCTTCAGGCGGTGAAGGCAGAGATCCATGACCTCCAAGAAGAGCACATCAAGGAGCGTCAGGAGCTGGAACAGACTCAGAACGAGCTCACAAGGGAGCTGAAACTCAAGTAAGTTCTGGACCTTTCATGGCACCCCCAGCCGCTTGCCAGGTGGTTGTTTGTTGAGTAAGAAACAGGTCTCTAAAGACAGGGCCCCTGCCTACTCCACCACCTTGTCTGTTTTTTGTTTATTCTTGAGAAAGTCACTTTCTGTCTCTGGGTCCCATCTGTTAGGTGAATGACTTCACCAGATGATCTCCAAATTTCCTTCCACCCTACCTGCTTGAAGTATTTAAAGGCTCTAGCCTCTATTGATAAGAGGGAATCTATTATTAACTAGAATTTTCTGAATGGTATAATGAACATCCAAATGCCCACCACCCAGATTCACTGATAAACAACCTTTTGTCATTTATCTTTCATAGAAATATTCTAAAATCTCATGTAATGTTAACGTCTTGTTATCTCATTCCTGCATACTTACATACATGATCATAATGCTGTTTTAAAACACGCTTTACTGAGGTATAATTTACATACCATACAATTCACCTATTTATTTATTTATTTATTTATTATTTTTTATTCATTTTAGACACAGAGATACAGAGAGAGAGAGAGAGCATGAGCAGGGAGAGAGGCAGAGGGAGAGGGAGAAGCAGGCTCCCCGCTGAGCAGGAAGCCCGATGCGGGGCTCGATCCCAGGACGCTGGGATCATGACCTGAGCCGAAGGCAGACGCTTAACCATCTGAGCCACCCAGGCGCCCCTATTTTTTATTTTTTTAAAGATTTTATTCATCCATTTCAGACAGAGTCAGCGAGAGAGGGAACACAGGCAGGGGGAGTGGGAGAGGAAGAAGCAGGCTTCCTGCGGAGCAGGGAGCCCGATGCGGGGCTCGATCCCAGGACCCTGGGATCACGACCTGAGCCGAAGGCAGACGCTTAACGACAGAGCCACCCAGGTGCCCCACAATTCACCTATTTAAATTAGTATACAAGTCTGTGAGCACCTGGGTGGCTCAGTTGGTTAAGCATCCAACTCTTGCTTTCGGCTCAGTTCATAATCTCAGGGTTGTGAGCTCGAGCCCCGTGTCAGGCTCCCCATTGGGCATGGAGCCTGCTTAAGATTCTTTCTCCCTCTGCCTCTCCCTGCCCCCTAAATGAATAAATAAATAAATAAAGTATACAAGTCAGTTTTAAAAATACGTATTTACAGGGTTATAAAACCATCACCACAATCTGATTTTTTTTTAATTATTTTTTATTTTTTTAAAGATTTTATTTATTTGACAGAGAGAGCACAAGAGCACAAGCAGGGGGAGTGGCAGGCAGAGGCAAGGAGAAGCAGACTCCCTGCTGAGCAAGGAGCTCAATGCAGGACTTGATCTCAGGACCCAGGAATCATGACCTGAGCTGAAGGCAGAGGTTTAACTGACTGAGCCACCCAGGCGCTGCTACTACAATCTGATTTTAGAACATTTTTTGTGTCTCCCTGCCCCCGCCGCAAGGAAACCCTGTACTAGTTAGCTGTCATTCCTTATTACCCGCCACCCTTCAGCCCTAAGTACCTACTAACCTACTTTCTGTCTCTGTAAATTAGTCTGTTCTGGACATTTCATATAAATGGAATCTTATAATATGTGGCCCTCTGTGACTGGTTTCTTTCACTTAACATGATGCTTCCAAGGATCATCCATGTTGTAACATGTCAGGACTTCATTCTTTTTTATGGCTGAATGATACTGCATTTTATGGATATACCACACATTTTATTCATTTATCAGTTGATGGACATTTGGGTTGTTTCCAGTCCTTGGCTATTATGGATAATGCTGCTATGAACATTCATGTACAAGTTTTTAGATGAATGTGTTTTCATTTCTCCGGGGTATATACCTAGGAGTGGAATTGCTTAGGTCTTATGGTAACTCTGTGTTTGACTTTTGGAGGAATTGCCAAACTGTTTTCCAGAATGGCTGTATCATTTTACATTTCCACCACCAATTTTTCCACATCCCGTTGACACTTGTAACTGTCTGTCCTTTTTATTATAGCCATCCTAATGGGTGTGAAGTAGTATCTCATTGTGGTTTTGATTTGCATTTCTCTAATGACTAATGATGGAATGTCTTTTTATGTGCTCTTTGACCATTTGCATATCTTCTTTGGAGAAATGTCTGTTCAAATCCTCTGCCCATTTTAAAATTGGGTAGTTTATTGGGTCTTTTTATTATTGAGTTGTAAGAGTTCTTTCTATATTCTGGAGACAAGTCTCTTATCAGATATATGATTTGCAGATATCTTCTCTCATTCTGTGGGTTTTCTTTTCACTTTCTTTATGGTATTTTGTTTGCAGCACAAAAGATTTTAATTCTGATATAGTCCAATTTATATTTTCTTTTGTTGCTTAAACTTTTGGTGTTGGATCTAAATTTTCCTATTCTGGATATTGCGTATCAATTTATAATGGAATAATGTGGCCATTGGTGGCTGGCTTCTTTCACTTAGTATAGTGTTTTCAAGGGTAATACATGTAGCACATACCAATATTTCATTTTTTTTTTTATGGTTGAATAATATTGTATCATATGACTATACCACATTTTATGTATCCATTCATCAGTTGATAGACCTTTCGGTTGTTTCTATTTTTTAGCTAATCTGAATAATACTGCTGTGAACATTTGTGTACAAGTTTTATTATGGACTTATGTTTTCAATTCTCTTAGGTCATCTTAGAGTCTTAAAGTTTGAGGTCTTACATTTAGGTCTATGATTCATTTTGAGTAAATTTTTGTATATAGTCTGTAGTAGGGTTCCAAGTGCATTCTTTTGCATGTGGATATCCAGTTGTCCCAGCACCATTTGTTGAAAGGGTCTTCTCTCATTGTCTTTGCACCCTTATTGATCATAAATGGAAGGGTTTATTTCTGAACTCTCAATATTGTTCCATTGATCTATTTGCTTGTCTTTATGCCAATACCACACTGTCTTAACTACTATAGCTGTGTAGTAAGTCTTGAAATGAGGAAGTATGAGTCCTCCAACTTTGTTGTTCTTTTTCAAGATTGTTTTTGGCTATTTGGAGTTTCTTACATTTCTGTATACATTTTAAGATCAGCTTGTCAATTTCTGTGAAAAAGCCAGCTGGGATTTTGATAGGCACTGTGTTGAATCTATAGATCCATTTGGAGAGTACTGTCATCTTAACAGTAACAGTTAAATGTTTTGATCCATGAACATGGGATGTCTTTTTATTTATTTAGATCTTTAATTTCTGTCAAGAATGTTTTGTGGTTTTCAATAGACAAGTCTTTGCACTTCTTTTGTTAAATGTATACCTAAGTTGTTTTTTTTTTTTACTATTGTATATGGAATTGTTTTTCTTAATTTTATTTTCAGAATGTTTATTGCTAGTGTATGGAATTACAATTGATTTTTGTATACACAATGATATCTTTGCACCTAACAAAACTAATGTTGTTTCTTAGTATTATCTCAGGCCTTACCCATGTTCAGATTTTATGGGTTTGTTCATATTAATATCTATATAAAGACCACATATTGCATTTGGTTATTATTTCTCTTCAGCTTATTTTAATCTGGAGCAATCCCTTCTCCTTTTAAAAACTTTTTTTGCAGTTGACTTACTGAAAAGCCAGGACAGCCTGTAGAAATATCTCACAGTCTGGATTTTAACTGAAAGCTTTAACTGAAAGCTAGTTCTGAAGCACTAGTTCTCAACCTTGGCTGCACACTGAAATCATATAAGGAGTTTTAAAAAGGCCCCACCCCAAAGATTTTGACTTACTGGTCCTTCAGCTTTAGCAGGCACCAGATCATCTGAAGGGCATGTTAAGTACAGATTGCTGGGTCTTATACCAGAGAGTCTGATTCAGTTCATTTGGGATGGAGCCTGAGAATTTACATTTCTAACAAATTCTGGTTGTTGCTCCTGTTGGTTCTGTGAACACATGGTCTCTCATGAGGTCTGGGCAAGATATTTTTCAGAACTCTGTAAATAATATTAACGTATAGCTTGGCTTAAGAACCACTGAGTTAATGGTTTCAACCAACAATAATTTGTCTGAAATTATTATTTCATTAGGGGTTGCAAAATACTGTTTTTCTCTATCAGTCCTTCTACAACATTCGCTGAGATTTTGCTTTTCTTTTTCTTTTAAGTAATTTCTACACCCAGTGTGGGGCTTGCACTCACAACCCCAAGATCAAGAGTCTCATGCTTTACAGATTGAGCCAGCCAGGCACCCCTAGCTGGAATTTTTCTTTAAAGAACTCTTCAGAGGGATTCTTTTAATGACCAAGTTTTAAATTTGGAAGGAGCCCTTATAATTAAATGTGTCCTCTTCCTAGGTATGTACACCTAGAAAAAAAATCAAAACAAAATGTGTCGAAATATTAATAATAGCTGTCTCTGGATAGTGAAATTATATGTAGTTCTATTTTTCACATTTCCTACTGTCAATAGGACTTTTAAAATCAGATAAAAACAAATATATATCATAAAAATAATTTCTTAAATGTTTCAAATAAAATAAGTAGAAAATTTTATCTCTCTGAAATATTTTTTCCCTAGGGAAGCCATTTTCATTGTTATATCTCTTATTTATATCTTTTGGATAAACAGTGAGTCAGCCTCTTTCTCACGGTCAGTACCCTACACGTCCATGGTGTTTGTTGTGTGTCTTTCCCACATTAACACCCTGTTGGCATTGTTCTGTCCTGAGGTTTCGAAAGCGTGAATGCAGAGATGTGGCAGGGGACAGTCGTCACCATGGAGAGACACAATCCAGTGGGTTCCAGTTTCATTGTTCGCCATGTTCCCCAGCACTTCTCAGACTGAGACTCTTCTCGGGAATGGTCTTTATTCTCAGTGCTCTAAGGGACTGAAATCCACTCAGTCTTGCTCTTTGTCCTGGTGATTAGAGTAGGAAGTTTTCTAGCTTGGGCATCAACCCATGGGAAGAAGACCGTTTAACTTCTAATCTGTTTTCAGCATTTTGGAAGTTAATGCGCTGGGTTGGCAGTACCAGTGGTCCTCTAAGAGACACTTCAGTTAGCACATGTTCACTCTGGTACAGCCCAGGCATGGCCACTTTTCTTCAGTCCGTTCTCCTCAAGCTGCTCCTCCTTGGGCAGAAGTGACCTCCCTAGAGTCTTAGGGCAGCCCACTGTCGGCACCTGACATATCTAAGAGGGCCACACCATTACCTCTCTGTCTCAGGCAGGGACCAAGTGTCATTCCTGTCTGTACCCCAACTCTCTGCCTGGTGGTCGGCCCGCAGTGCCTGCCCACTAAGTGTTTGCTGAGTGGCTTGACTCTTATCTAACGACCCCACGTGTAGGCTAGCCGGTACTCCAACTGTCTTCTTTGTCCGCCTGTGTTCACTCATGTGTGTGCCCTTACAGGCATCTTATTATAGAAAACTTTATCCCTCTGGAAGAAAAAAGTAAAATTATGAATAGATCCTTCTTTGATGAAGAGGAAGATCATTGGAAATTACATCCTATAACCAGACTGGAGTAAGTCACTATTGATTTTAAGGTGGGGAGGAGGGGAAAAATGTGGGTAAGCTGGACTTGGCCCAAGGGGTATGGTAGGAATTGGGGGACTATCACAGTGAATTCATGACCTTTCCCAAGTTCCTGCATTTGCGCTTCCTCAGCTGTCAAGTGAAGCATGCTAGGCCAAAGGAGGGGCAGTACCTAGATAGAGGTCATATTGTATGGCAGTCTGACGCAGCGCTGAGGAGGATTTCCAGTCTACGTCTGGGGTCTGCCAAGGATGTGGGGATGGGGAATATTGGCAGTTGTGCTTCACGCCGGCCGTCTAAGAATGGGATGATGACTCCGATCCCTTCCAGCTTAAGAGCTGTATGATGTTCACATTTGAATCAGAACGCGACTCAAACAGAAAATATAAGCAGTTCCTGCCCCATTTGCACGGCAGCCCGCAGTCCAGGGAGTTACTAGGTTCAGGTTCTAGTTAAATAGGCTCAGTGTCTTCTGAGAGCTGGTTCCACAGGATGATCCTGGGACTGCGGAACACACTCCAGCCAGGGCTTTAACCACTGCAGTCCATTTCCAGGAATCAGCAGATGATGAAGCGGCCAGTCTCAGCTGTGGGATATAAGAGACCGTTGAGCCAACACGCAAGAATGTCCATGATGATTCGTCCAGAGGCCCGATATAGGGTGAGAAGATCATCCTTGTGTTTCTCTCCTCTTTTCAAGGAGTTTAGGTTTATGTAAACCCTCAGGCACCATTCCGCAAAGTCACAGAGTTTGTATACTGCCTCTTTCCAGAGGTTCCTGAGGACATTTATATTAACAATTATAACAAATAATAAATATAATAAGTAAATAACAATAGAAAGAACAAATAATTATGAATAAGAAGGTAAAATAGAATGAGATTTAGAAAATTAGGCCTAGGGAAGGAGGAGAGCACAAACATACTGTCAGTAATGGCCAAGAAACATCAACACTAAGCCTGAAAATGGCTCTGTGTGAAGGCTGGAGGAAAGGCAGGTGTGTAATGACAGGAGATGGAGATGAGTTAAAGAGCAGTCGGTACTTCCATTTAACGGGATGTGGGTCAGTCAGGTAGTTATTTATTTTTTAAAGATTTTATTTATTTATTTGAGAGAGAGCAAGTGAGAGAGAGAGAGCACAAGATGGGGGAGGGTCAGAGGGAGAAGCAGGCTCCCTGCTAAGCAGGGAGCCCGATGTGGGACTCGATCCCAGGACCCCGGGCTCATGACCTGAGCCGAAGGCAGTCGCTTAACCACCTGAGCCACCCAGGCGCCCAAGATAGTTATTTAAAGGGACATAATTGGGGACAATTTAATGACCCAAACATTTTACAACAATAATACTGTGCGAACTTCTACCCGTAAGCACTTCCTGTATGCCGGGCATGTACTCAGCACTTTATTGCTTTCTCTGATGCTCCCACCTCCTCTCTGCAGCAGGTCCTGTGGCTTAGTAGGTAGCTGGTAAGTGGATGGACCAGGAGATACAATGTATTGTTAAGTTCTGAAACAGTTGGTACTGGAAGTTTACGTATGAATTAAGAAAGCTACTGTAAAATATAACAAAACGTGAACTGGTTATCTCTGGTTAATGGAAGTGCACTCAATTTAAATTGCCTTCTTTTTGCTTATCTGTATTTTATGTCAGCGGGGAACCTGTATTATTTTTTTTAAGGATAGATTCTCACTTGAAAAATTTAAACTGTTTTTGAGTCTCCCTTGGCCACCAGAGCAAAACAGATTGGGATTAATTAGTTCCTCAGGTACTGTTCTTCCTGGTGCTGAGTTACTTAAAATAAAGGAAACAAAAGCAAAGAAGCTGCATTAGGTGGGGTTTTCTTTCTTTTTTTTTTTTTTTAAAGATTTTATTTATTTATTTGACAGAGAGAGACATAGTGAGAGAGGGAACACAAGTAGGAGAGGGAGAAGCAGGCTTCCCTGCGGAGCAGGGAGCCCAATGTGGGGCTCGATCCCAGGACCCCAGGATCACGACCTGAGCCGAAGGCAGACGCTTAATGACTGAGCCACCCAGGCGCCCTAGGTGGGGTTTTCTATAGTGGAAGGTGAATGATGTATCAGAGTCCTCAGAAGCATTTTCCTAGCAGTTTCAGAGGGTGCATCTCTTGCCCATTATTTCATGTCTCAAAGCAAAAACATGATTTCAAAGCCTACAAATCAAAACACGTGGGTTTCCAGGGGACTAACCTGATCCAAAGGTAGAATTTAAAGCAGTGGCTTCAGGGCGCCTGGGTGGCTCAGTTGGTTAAGCGACTGCCTTCGGCTCAGGTCATGATCCTGGAGTCCCTGGATTGAGTCCCGCATCGGGCTCCCTGCTCGGCAGGGAGCCTGCTTCTCCCTCTGACCCTCCCCCCTCTCATGTGCTCTCTGTCTCTCTCATTCTCTCTGTCTCAAATAAATAAATAAAATCTTTAAAAAATAAAAAATAAAAAAAAAATAAAGCAGTGGCTTCAGATGTTTTTAGCAATGGACCCAGTCCATGAAGAGAAATTTTAAGCAGCATCTCAATACATAACATTGATTGATGGAGCTCCTCCATCTCCCCACCTTCTACCTGCAGTGGCCCTCCTGCCCCCTCTGGGGCTTGAACTCTACGGGGTGGGAAGAGCTGAGGAGGAGATATGTACCATGGGTGTTCTTCCCTCTACACACTCTTCTCCGTATGTAGGAGCCAGGGAAAGACCCACCACGGGCTATCAGGTGAAGGAATCCAGCCACAAGGCCAGTTATGAGGCAGGGCCTGGTATGATTTATAAAATGTGGTTACAAGACACACACTGCCACATACCTTCCACATATGTACTCCCTACCTGCCTCCTTCCCTCAGCAACCAAAAGGTTCATCAGAGCTGCTGTGGGTGGTGAGATTATCAGTGATTACTATCTTCGTCTTTATACCTTTTTGTATTTTCACATTGTCTGCAGTAAATGGGTTCTACTTATTATTTTTCCCTGCTTATTCCCCTATAGGGTATAATATATGTTCATTGTTTAAAAAAATTTTTTTTTAAGGAAATAGAGAAAAGCCCAGAGAAGAAGATAAAAACATCTGTATCCTCACCAGGAAAAACGTTATAAAACTACATCACTACAGGCTCCTGGGAGGCTCTGAGTAGCAAGAAATGTGCAGTTCTGTTTTTTGGAGGGGGGCAGGTTTGCTTGTACTCTCTGTGTCTGATCAGAGGCCAGCCTCGCTGGTTATGACTGTGCTTCTGCAGGCAGAGAACATCGTGCTGTTAGAGCTGGACATGCCCAGCCGGACCACCAGAGACTACGAGGGCCCCGCCATCGCTCCCAAAGTCCAGGCTGCACTGGATGCAGCTCTGCAGGACGAAGATGAGATACAGGTGGATGCATCATCCTTTGAAAGCACGACAAATAAGAAATCGAAGGCCAGGTGAGTGGCTTTTGATGACCTGTGGTTAAACAGAACATGCTTGAACAAGGACAAATGAAGGTAGAGGTTTATCATGGAACGCTTTACAGAACACACCAGAAAATACTGCCATATTACTCCTATGTTTATTCATTTATTCCACAAATACTTATGGTTCAGGCATTATGTCAAGTCTAATGAACACCAGAATGGCTAATGTGCCCAAGTTCCTACCATAAGGAGCATGTGTTCTCGTGAAATAGGGGACAGTTCTTTCAACTGCCAGGTACTAGGCAGTTTGTTTTTTTTTTTCCCAAAATTTTATTTGAGAGAGAGAGAATGAGAGAGAGAGAGCACATGAGAAGGGGGAGGGTTAGAGGGAGAAGCAGACTCCCCGCCAAGCAGGGAGCCCGATGCGGGACTCAATCCCGGGACTCCAGGATCATGACCTGAGCCGAAGGCAGTCACTTAACCAACTGAGCCACCCAGGCGCCCCATGGTACTAGGCAGTTTTAAGTGCTTTAAAAACATTCTCTGATTTCCTGCAAAAACAAAATAAATGTTATCATTAATCCCATTTATAAAATCTCTAAGGTAAGAAAACTGAGTCTTAGAGAATTTGAGAAAGTAGCCAAGTTCAAGGAAGTAAGTCTGGAGTCAGGGTTCAAACCTAGGTGTGTCTAAATCCACAATCCAAGCTCTGAGCCTCACTGGTGAATTTACCTCATTTAAATAACCCATTAAATAACCAAGTACTTAATTTGGTGCTAAATTAGAAATTCTGTCTTATTAAATTTTGGATTAGAAGCTTAAGGACGGGGCACCTGGGTGGCTCAGTCGTTGAGCGTCTGCCTTCGGCTCAGGTCATGATCCCAGGGTCCTGGGATTGAACCCCGCATGGGGCTCCCTGCTCAGTGGGAAGCCTGCTTCTCCCCTCCCCCCACTCCTCCTGCTTGTGTTCCCTCTCTCACTGTGTCTCTCTCTGTCAAATAAATAAATAAAATCTTTAAAAAAAAAAAAAAGCTTAAGGACAACAAATGGGTGAAAACAAAAAATGGAAGAAATTCTACCTGCAAACAGTATTTTTTACCAATTCAGAAAAGACAGTGAAGATCTGATTTAAATGGAAGAACAGTTGCCAAGAAGCCGGTCCCTTCCCTGAAGTGTCACGCCTCGGTTGGCAGGTCATGTTGGCCATGCACAGAGGGTCGGGCTGTGTCGGTCTGGCGGTTTTGCAGTTGAAAGTATACTGGCGTTCAGGCCATTGAGGAAAGGCTGAGGATACTTGGTGAGAAAGCAATCTGATCTGTGTTAGGGACAGAGACGGGACGTGACATGTAAACATGTGCTTGATTTTTGCAGGCCTAAAAGCGGAAGGAAGTCAGGATCCTCCTCCTCTTCCTCAGGAACCCCTGCATCTCAGCTTTATCCACAGTCTCGAGGACTGGTTCCTAAGTAAAGCCAGTTCCTCCTCTCCCGGGGTGTAAATAGCTTTTGCCTTCTGAGAGAAGAGACGAGCAAAAACCTGCAGAGAGGACTTCAAGCCCAAACTCAGAACCGTGCCCTTGGGGAGAAGCTGTGGCCTCTTTGCAGATTAACCATCGTAATCTGGTTGAAACGTGCTGGTGTTCATCTGGCACGCAGCGACTGTGGGAAATGTCCTTTAATTAGCATCTCAGAAATGCATGGGTAAGGTAAAGTGTGATAGTCGAAGTGGAAAGCAAGAGAATGACCAGTGACCTTGCTTCCCTTCTCCCTTGCTTTCTCCTCTCCCTTCCCTCGCCCGCCCTCCCTCACCCCTCTCCTTTTCTAGCCTGTTCTTTGTGCTGGGCTCCTTTCTTGTTGAACAACAGGGCAGAATCAGGAGTCACCTGAGCAGGACCAAGTCTGTGGAGCCTCAGGATAAAATGACAGTGAGGTTGAAAAGTAAAAGCCCTAGAACTTGAATAGGTGCTTGTTCCTGTAGGTAGAATGAGAATTCTCATTTGGATCCAAGCCCCCGATAGGCTCGATAGGCCTTTGGGATCTGCTGAATAAGGAAATGTTTTCCAAGAATGTTGTGAAGCAATAGAAACAACATTCCCTTTGCCTCCTTGGAGAGTTTAGGGAAGCAGCTTCTTTAAAACCTTAAAACCTTGACCATCCTTGTCAATGACGTAAATCTGTAAGCTGATGCCATGTCCATACACTGTGTCACTTTACTCTTCATTTGTCACCATCTTTTCCCTTGCACACGTCCTCTGAGTGTCCCTCTGAGGCCTGCAGAGCATGCTCAGCCGTGGGCCTATTTTATGGGAAAAGGGAGGTTGGCTCTGCTTTCTCTGATGGAACAAGAGTTGGGGGAATGAGACATACAGTGGCACTTTTGAATTCCCCATTTTGTTCCCTGTCTGCATAAGGGTGATTAGGCAGTGCAGAGACAGAGACGTGGGACTTGGGGCGGTGGGAGAGGAAGGTATAATGGATGGGAGCGAAGGAGTCCTGCCTGCCTTCCGCAGAACACTCACCTGAAGCTAGAACTGTGGCTCCCTGCGGGCAGAGCTGAAGCTGGTGGCCAAGGGTGGCCGTGCGACTGAATAGGCTCAGAGGAGAGAGTTAGGAATTCCCGTTTACATATACTAGTTTGGTTTATAAGTTTTAGTTCTTTGTATTATTGAAATTCAAAGCTTCATTTTATGTTGGTCCTTAGGTGAATGTTGTTCATTTTCCCCCCAAGAGAAGCTCATAAGTGTGTGTGGGTGTGCAAGCACAGTGGTGCCTGTGTTCTTTGAGTTTGTCCATGTGTGTCTGTAAGAGAGAGACAAAGGACTCGCCCAGTTGTAGAAATACGCTAATGTGCAGTTGTTGCCTTTGTCTGTATTAAAGGCCCATTGGGTGACTAATCCAGGCTGGACGTGCTCCCATGTGAGTGTCTGAGTCCACGAGCCAAGCCTGAGGGGACAATAGGAGTCCTCAGGTCTGCCACACTGGAGCACCTTGCTGGCACGGTGCCTCCGGAAGGTGGCGACTCAGGTGGGCCTTGAGTTATATTTTAACTCAGCTGCTGAGTTCCCAGGGCACATTTCTGGATCAGAACCCGTGGGAAAGAGGAGGTACCAAGTGCAATGTCTTTTCATTCTACAAATGGAGATCTGGCATCTGGCAGCTTATCTCCTTTTTAGTTACCATTCTTTCTGAAACCCAGGGCCCGTTTCAGCAATTCCCAGAGCATAATGGAGCCTTCCCTCATCTTTCTTGGGATCAAACCCTGCTTCTTATTTATTAAGAATTTACCTGTTTGAATAGGAACCAAATGATGAGGTGGATAGTCTAAGATGGTTATCTGCCAGTTACACCTTTCTCTTGCACCACATTCCCTCAAAGCTAGTCCGAATTCCATAGGCTGAAAATATTCATCTAGCATATCTGAGAACTGAACACTGCAGATAACACTGTACCTTAATACCGATGTCTTAAGGTGGCTATTCTGAGCAAGGGTGGGTTGAGTGACCGTGGAACTTTTCTAAGAGGGCAAAAGAAGAAAGCCAAGTGGGCAAGCAGGATTATTAAAACAAGCTTGCCTTATACACAGCTATGTTTGTTTGGCAGTCTGTGAGACCAGGTACAACAGCTGTGAGGAGGAGATGTCCCTCCCCAAGCAGTCTCTGGTGCTTTTCTTCTCTCAAAATGGATCCGATAAATATTTGAGTAGAGCAGACAGGAGCATGTCTCACTGCTACCAGAAAGCTGCTGCTTTGGGCTCTGAGTTGAGCCAAATGTGTAGAGGACCCACCTGGTTTTCATGTCTGTAGTCACGCTATGTTCCAAGCCATCTGAGGGTCTTCATGCAGAAGCAGCTAGTGAAGTCTGGAAGCAAGTCTGAACAGGATCTAAGAAGATCATCTGGGAGGAGTTTGAGACTGTGTGTGCAACCCTCATCAAGCCCCATTTTTCTCTGATCAGTAAGAATGTATCTGGCTTCCTATTTGAAAGTCACATGTCTCCCAGATCCCTGGATTCAGAACCCAAGGCCATAAATCATAGGCATGAAGCACTTTTCTTAAGACTCTGACCTAACGTTGGATTGTTCCCCATCGAATGCCTGCATGCTGCTTGAATTGTACCACCCACACCTCCATGACCAAGGGCGTCAGAGAGTTCTGCAGTTCAGGCCTGGGCCACTCTCTGCTTTTCCTGTCTGACTCTTGTAAGTCCTCCCTCACTGAATGTAGAATTGTTGCCAAGTTTTTGAGAAGTGTCGATTCCCCGCTACCATGGGATATCAGTTCTGCCTCACATTTCCCACTTACAGTCCAGGCTCATTGCAAACAACACCTTGGGCCATCTCAACACCATCAGTGGATGAAAATGGGGCTATTAATATACTCTAGAAGCCATAATCAAAATGCTCAGAGGGAACTGGATAAGGACAGTGGGTCTGGCTGTTGTCTACTGCACATGGTTTGGTCCGGTACTGTTTGGAAATCTGCCCCCTTTCTCCCCGCCCTTGTTTTCTTGAATGAAATGCTTTTGAGGTTATTTATGAAAGGAGTGATCCTGGGGCAGGCAGGGGGCAGTGGGCTTTATGGCTCTTTGGAGTTACTCTTGATCTTGACCTTCTCTTTGGCTACCTTTAGACAAAGAATATGCCAATACTTGGGGCTCTAAGTTTTACAATTGATATTTATTTGTATCATCTCTTTGTCTAGGAATGTAAAAGTGATTCTAAACTAAGATGTGTAATAAAAATCAATCAGATTTATTGTACCTACAAAAAGGTGTCCTCATAAATGACTAACGCTTTTGGAAATGACATGCCCGTGGCCGACACACTGCCACTTTCTTTCAACATTTAAATTTTTCTAGTGAAAGGAGGGTGGGAGTGGAAAATGAAGACTGAGTTGGAAGGCTGGCATTAAAAAAAAAAAATAGCAAGGTAAAGGGACATAAAATGAAGAAAGAGTGACAAATAAGTGCTTTTCATGTTTTTCTATGGAGGTTCCTGAGGTAGGCCTGGGCAACAGGCATGGCATTTCTTTGAACTTCTGTGTTTTGGGTTCAAATTTCTTTTAAGTTCATTCCATATTATACTTTAAAATGTGTCCTTTTTTTTAACACAAAAATATGTTATTTACCATCAGGTAAAAAAAGAAATACCAGAAACGGGCCACATGTTGCTCTCGTGGTCTCTCATGTGCTCAGACCTATTGGACTGTACCCCGGGGGGGTTGAGAGAAGCGGCACAGACCCTGGACTCTGAGCTGGGTTTGAGTTCTGATTGTGTTTACTTTCTAGCTATGTGACTGTGAGGAATTTAACTTCCCTCTCTGAACCTTGGTGTCCTTGTCTATAAAATAGGTTAGAAATCCCCACCTTACAGGGCAGTTGTGAAGATTAGCAATGCATTTAAAGCAACAGCACACAAGGATGTGGACTATAGCGGCCATTTAAAAATGTGGTTATTGCTGTCACGTGGCCCTGTGTTCAGAAGACACCATGAATAGTTTGTATCCCAAGAAACTAGAAGCTACGACTGGGCATACCATGTTTAGAAAATCCTAGGCCTTGGGCGCCTGGGTGGCTCAGTTGGTTAAGCGACTGCCTTCGGCTCAGGTCATGATCCTGGAGTCCCGGGATCGAGTCCCGCATCGGGCTCCCTGCTCGGCAGGGAGTCTGCTTCTCCCTCTGACCCTCCCCCTTCTCATGTGCTCTCTCTCATTCTCTCTCTCAAATAAATAAATAAAATCTTTAAAAAAGAAAAAAAGAAAAAAAAAGAAAATCCTAGGCTTTTACAGAAAAGCTGCTAACCATTTAACAAATATATGTGAAGTACCATTTAACAAATATATGTGCCACACTGTTCTCGGCACCGGGTATATAGATGTGAGCATCCCTGCCCACACAGAGCTTGTCCTTAAATGAGGAGGAAGGCAAGATAAATGTTAACAGAATGCACAAAAGTGTACAATTACAAATTATGACAAATCCCATGAAGTGATATTATAGGAGACTAAGAAGGTCCTAACTGAGATTGGGTGGGTAAGTAAAGGAAGGGCTTTCTGAAGAAATGGCATTTACAGTGAGATCTAAAGAATGAGAGGTTTGGGGCGCTGGCTGGCTCAGTCGGTAGAGCGTGCGACTCTTAATCTCAGGGTTGTGAGTTCAAGCCGCACTTTGGGTGTAGAGCTCACTTAAAAAGGGGGGGGGGCACCTGGGTGGCTTGGTTGGTTAAGCGTCTGCTTTGGCTCAGGGTGTGATCCTGAGGTCCTGGGATCGAGCCCTGCATCAGGCTCCCTGCTCAGTGGGGAGTCTGCCTCTCCCTCTGCCCCTCACCCCACTCTTGTGCTTACTCTCTCTTTCAAATAAATAAATAAAATCTTTAAAAAAATAAAAATAAGAAGGATGAGAGGTTAGCTGGGTAAAAGGGTGGGTGTGGGGGAGGGGAGAGTCTGTGAAGGTCTTGAAGCAGAATTTCATAGGAAGGCATCTCCAGTCCTTTTTACCCTCACTATAGGGAAGCACGGAGAACTATTAGGGAAAAAACTACAGCATAGGACTTAAAAAAAAAAAAAAAAACCCAACAAATTTAAAGAGCCTAGAAAGGATAGCATCCTACGTGACTTAGGCAAAGGATTCTTAATTGTGTTTCTTCATAAGATGCCCTCAAACTATGTGTAATGTTCCCACACCCCCCTTTCCTTCCAAAAAGAGTTAAAGAGCATAGTTTGGCTTAGCCTAAATAATTATCAGTTTAGAATAATTCAAAATCCATTAGCCAGAAAGCAAGAGTTCAAAATGTGATTTGAAGAATTATGAGTGTGTTCTTGAAAGTGACAGAATTCTGGATAGGCCAGGGGCTAATTCATAAGGGAGGTATAGGGCAGGGCGGCTGGGCAACTTGGCAATTCCTGTGACCACCAAGTTGTCTTCTCATCTGCTGGGTTCTTTAAAAAAAAAAAATCAAGAAATTACACAAGCCTTGTGTGATTCAGTAAGAAATATATGTTTGGTCTTTGTCCCTGAAGAGCTTCTACAACCCTTGGAATTTCTTGAGTGACAGAGGTGATAGGATTTTTTGATATTCCTGACAAACCTCTTTCAACCCTGCCTGAACCTGTGCTAATAAAGTGACTCTAGGTGGGTCCCTAGATAGCTTCCGAATGGGGGCTGGTTGCCAGAGGAACCAATCTTGTGACTAGAGGTTTGG